CTCTCGACTCGAAATAGTTCTCGATTTTGTCGAATTTGTTGAGAACCTCTCCCTCGACACCAGTGATGGCCTCAATGGTCTCCTGTTGGATCTCAACGCCAAAATTGTTTCCGTCTTCTATTTTGGGAACCATTAAACTGATGGCCAGTTTCAGAAGCAGTATGTCTTCACTCAATTCAATCATTCGTGGCTTCAATACAGCGAGCATTTCAATGAACGTCTCATTGCATTCGACCGCTCCGTTCGGGAAGAGAAAGGGTTTGGCGATAATGATCTCGTCGTCAAAGTCCACGATTACATCCCTGTTCTTCTGCTTCTGTGGAACCGATGACTCGTTTGACTTATGGTCCGGAATCGGAATATTGAGTTCAAACGGCTTTATACTAGAGTTCAGCGAAAACTTTTCAGAATTCGAGAGAACATCCAAATCGAGTATTTTTCGCGGAAACCTCTTGAGAATCAATTCTTCGGCTTCTCGTTTCACTTTCTCTTTGAATGAATTGATCTCTTCTTTGGCTGTTTCTGACATTTTCTTCACTTTTATTTTCTAATTTCAAATTTGATTTTAAGATATAATTGTAATACATAATTGATCGTGCTAATAGGCTATTGTTGTATGATTGGCATGAGATATATCTTACAATTTATTATTATTATACCGGCAATTTTAATCTCAATCTACAAATATAAATATAATTGTTGTAAAGTTTTTAATTGGAAGTGATTTGCAGACTGAGAATAAGATAATTATTAGAATCAATACAATTAAAGATCCCTTTCCTCTCAATACAGTGCTTTCGTATTACACATGAAATGCAGAGTTTTAACAATTTTTGCGATAACTTTGACAACAATTTGACAAAACAATGTGAAAATCTAAACCAAACGTGAATTAACAGCTAATCTTAAAACAACAGAAGGACTACTCAAGACATCCAAAGATACTATTTCTTTAGTGATAAGTGAATCAATTGAACCAAAAGATGAAAAACGAAGGAAAGGGAGGATCAGGTAAAGGGTCGACAACTGGTGGAAGTGGAGGTACGGCTGGAACTCCTGGAAGGAGTGCATCCCTCGAGTCGACGGCATCGGTGTCCGCGGGAACGGCGGGGCGATACACGGGTTCGGGAGGACAGGCGGCTACAGGAGGTGGTGGACAGGGAGTGCAGACACCGACACTTGTGGTGACGTACGGACGGGATTTGCACGACTCGTGTGCGGCCATCATATGGTGTCCCAAACACGAGAAGTTAGCGCTGAGTCGGATCGGCATCGGAAAGGGCTTATGGCTGCCGACGACAGCCATCAGGCAGGGGGAGGGATGGTATGACTCGATTCAGAGACACCTGAAGACTGTGCTGAGAGTCTCGCGCGAAGAGAGAGGAAAGGCTGAGAAGAATTACCTGAGTTTCCGTCAGCCGCCGGCTCTCGTCCACGTCCTCAGGTGTCAAATGCCTCAATACCTCGACTTCATTACGCGCTGTGTCTTCAGCACAGAACTCACTCATGAGTCCAAACACCCGTCCAATTGCTGCCCTAACAAGACGTCGGCCTCAGGACTGGTGTGGGTCTCGGGCGAAGAGATAATGAAGGGTCGGGTGAAGGAGTTGTGGGGACCGGAGCCCCGGATGTTCGTCGACGCCATTCTCAACAAACGGCTCCAAAGTGTCGACAATTACAGTGAGTTCTGTCTGAAGGATGTCATGAGATATGCGCCCAAAGAGGAGATGAAGACCTATCAGGAAGAGCTCGTNTACCGGTCCTTTACTGCAACCATTAAATACTTATTAACTCATTAATAGTTAGTCTAAAATATTGCAAATTCAATGATTATTTAGTGACGCTATACATAGCATGTGCTAAATAGTCGACGTTTCCGGACGTGACGCCGGCCATCGAAATGCGGCCGTCTTTTGTGAGATAAACGCTGAACTCTTTAGTGATGCGCTCGACCTGATCCTTGTCCATACCAGTGAAGCAGAACATCCCGATCTGGTCAGTGATGTGCTGCCAGTTCTTTGTCGAGCCCTCCCGTTTGAGACCCTCTCTAAGTCTTGTTCGGACAGAAATGATGCGATCGGCCATTCCTTTCACATCTTTAAGCCATTGACTCCTAAGTGTCGGATCATTCATAACGAGAGCTGCAATTCTGGCGCCATTCACGGGAGGGTTTGAATACAACTATTGAAGTGAAATTCAATTCATTGAAAACAATCTAATATTCAATTCAATCATTTGAATACCGGTCTGATAATGATCTTAATCTGAGACATGACTCGTGCGGTTTCCTCTTTAGAAGAGGTCACTAAAGTGAAAGCACCCACTCTTTCGCCATATAATCCCATATTCTTAGCGAACGATTGGGCGACTGCTATCTGATGGCCATCTTCGACGAACATTCGGACAGCAGTGGCGTCGCGATCGATGTCTCCGGTGGCGAACCCCTGATAAGCCATATCCAGGAATGGGAACAAATTCCTCTGCTTCACAACCTTTGATATCTCTTTCCATTGTTCGGCCTTTCGGTTCAAAAGCAATCAATTATCGGCAATACTGAGGGGCAGTGAATACATACTTTAGGGTCGACTCCCGTCGGGTTGTGAGCGCACGCGTGCAGAAGAATCACTGATTTCTCCGGTATTTTAGCCATATCTTGAAGAGCGCCGTTAAAATCAAATCCACAAGTTTTTGGGTCATAGTATCGGTACTGTTTCACTGTAAAGCCCGCCCTTTTGAACAGAGGGATGTGATTACCCCACGTGGGGGTCGGCATATAGACCTCTTTGGGACCCGAGTGGAAGTCTCTGAGGAAGTTTGCGCCCAACATCAGAGAACCCGTTCCAGAGATTCCCTGAACCGTCGCGTTCTTCAGACAAATGATTGCATTTTACAAGACATTTAACACCACTTTTTCATGACATACCAATCCGTCGGACAGGACTCGACTGTTGTCCCCAAAGGCCAGTTTGGCGGCTGCGGTCGTGAAGTCAGCGAAACCACTGATCGGAAGATATTCTTTGTCCAAATTCTTTGTTCTCAATATCTCTTCGGCTTTGAGAACAGACGGCAGTAGAAATGGTTTGCTGTTGTCGTCCCGATAGGCACCGACACCTAAATTGATTTTCTTAGGGTTTGTGTCCTTCTTGTAGGCTTCGGTCACACCGAGGATAGCGTCGGGCGGACCCATCTCTACTTGAGTCCACCATCTGATGTCAATACTCGGGGTTAGATCAGGTGTGCAATCAAATATGGATCACTTACTGGTGATGTCTTATAGAGTTGACAATTGGCGCCATCGATGCCAACGATTTCTTGCCATTTATTTTGGACACTAACTTAAGACTTGCCATCACTTTGTGTTTTGTATGTCTTGTAGTGAAGGAACAATTGAATTGAACTGAATTTGTGTCAACTGAGAGGACAATCAATGGAAAGTTTGTGTGAATGTACTATTGGCTGGTTTGTAGCACAAAGACAGACAAATATTGTGGTAAACAATTGGCTCAGAGATGATAATATAGATGATAACAGATCTCAAGTTTGAAGTCAAGGACAGTCTCTCAAGTGCTTCAATGCAGTGATCACTCAAACAGTGAATGTTATGAATGCCTCACATGTGTTAACCTCTATGGAGAGGAGTCTCCCATTCTATACATACCATAACTTTCTGTTACATAAATGCCTTTCCATTCAATTATTCCGACGATTCTGGCATTCAATCGTTGATTTTAGTCTACAATCAGTGTGTCTTTTAATCAAAATTTATTGTTTTTTCTTACAATTCAATTAATTTCCTAATATCACAAACTTTTCAAGCATTTAATTGAATAAAATTGAAATACCGGTAAATGAAAAATTTATAACTTTTATGACTACATTTTGCTGGTGTTTATCAAAAATGAAATATGAGATAATTTTTGGTTAAAAGTTTTGCATTCATTTCTCAATTTAATTCATTTTATATAACATTTATAATAACAAAAAATTCAATTAAAATATAATTATAAAAACATTACAATAAACATAAAATTGAGACTACATTTATATGATAATAATTCATATTTTTATAGTTTTATAATAAATTAAAAATATGACAATAATTTAAGACAATATTAGACTTTATGACTACTTTTGAGATGATTTTGCTTAAAGGATATGTCTTTTGGGAAACGGATCTATGGTTGTGATGTGTCTGATGGGTGACTGATATGACTGATGGGTGTCTCTAATAGGTCTCAATTTTGATGACTCGGATCTTGTGGTCGGCCACTAGGATGACGGCTGCTTCGTTCAAACCGCCACAATATCTACTGCTACTGAATATTGTGATACAACGGCCG